GGTGGGGCGCGGGACGGGGGCGGGGCCAGAGCCGGGGGCGGGGCTTCTCCCGCTGCCCACCGGGGCACACACACTGCCTCACACACGTGCACACACGCACACCAGACACACATACGGATCCACAGTCATACACGAGTAACACACCCACGAACACACATGTGCACATAAGGGACACTTCTCCACACACACATACATGGGAGAGTGTGGTGCTGACAACACCAAGTCAAGGGTTAAGATCCCCTTAACTGTCATCTTTAAAAAACAAACAAACAAACAAAAAATATATATATATGTATGTAACATGAATCTTTCCATGAACTTTTTGAAGTATCTTCATATACACCTATACCACCACACACACAAAAAAAACCCACAACCATGCACACACAGACTAAAACAACCTCACAAGAATACACACAGGAGGGAGACCTACAGCACACACACCCACAAAATGACACCCAAACACATAATCACAAACACACCTACGGCCAGCTGATGTGTGCAGAATGGATAGTGTGAGTACCCTTCCTCACCCAGGCAGGCACACCCAAAACCACATAACCACACCCCTTCCTGAGGTCCCCTGATCCAGGAGGGAAATGTCCCCTGCACATATACCATGAAATTGGGGGTTGCAGGCACACACCATGTATTTGATAAGGAGTTAATATCCAAAAAATATAAGGAATTCATACAACTCAATAGCCAAAAAAATAAATCACTTGGCTAAAAAATGGGCAGGGCCGGCCGGCTGGTTAGCTGTTGGTTAGAGCATGGTGCTGATAACACCAAGGTCCAGGGTCTGGATCCCTGAACTGACTGGCTGCCAAAAAAAAAAAAAGGACATAGCAGGCACTCAATAAATGCTTGTGTTGTGGGCCAAACACCGCCAGTCCGATGCTCATGGAGATTCGTACGGACATAAGAACACCCCAGTCCACTCTGGAGTCCTGCGGGGTGACATGGGGAGGCAGGATACCTAGCCAGACTCTGCTCCCACCCCCAGAACGAGCGGGAGAACACCAGCTACGATGTGGCCACCCTGCAGGATGAGGAGGGAGAGCTGCCCGACTTTCCAGGTGAGCCCCCACCCTTGTCCTCCCCCCAAGCAACCCCCATCTTGTCCCAGGGCCCCAGGAGACAGAGCCTTGACCCACGAGTGTGCAAGAATTTGAGACTGGGAGGGAGACTTGCACTCACCTGTTATTCATTCCACTACCTGAGCCTGCCCTGGGGGCCCTGACCCACCACTCCAGACCCCCCTGCTCCTGTCCCCTGTGGCCTGGGACCCTGAGGCCTGACTCTGTGCCCCCTGCCAGGGGCTGAGACACTGCTGTCCAGGCGGCTGAGCCCATCAGCACAGGAGCTGTTGGCCTCCCTCCAGGAGCAGGTGGCTGTGCTCACCAGACAGAACCAGGAGCTGATGGAAAAGGTCCAGGTGGGGAAACTGAGACCGGGGACAGATCTGAAGACCTGAAGGCTTATTCCCAGGGGTCTGGGTGGGCAGGGAAGGTAGTGAGGCTGCCCTCTGCCCGTCATGGCCCCTTCAAATCCCACTCCCACCCTTCCCCACCCCCAGATCCTGGAGAACTTCGAGAAGGACGAGATGCAGATGGAGATGCATGGTTCCACTGAGGTCATCCCTCTGGCCCTATACGACTCTCTCCGGGCTGAGTTTGAGCAGCTCCGGAGGCAGCATGCCGAGGCATTGTGGGCACTGGAGCAGACACAGGAGGCCCCCAGAGAGGGGGACAAGGGCATGGCCAATGCCACCAAAAACGGGCCAATAGACACGGAGCTTAATGGCATCGTGGCCCTGGAAACCAAAGTTAACAGAGGTGAGACCACAGATGAGGAGGCCGCAGTAATCGAGGCCACAGAAGCTACACCCACAGGCGCTGAGGCCACGGGAGCTGAGGCCACAGCAAAGGAGCCCACAGACATGGAGGTGATGGAAACAGAGGGTGCGGGAGCGGAAGCCTTGGAAACAGAAGCCACAAGGGCTGAGGTCATGGAAGTGAAGTCTGCAGAAGAAAGAGAGAGAGCTGAAACAAAGACAGTGGGCACCGAGGCCACAGGGGCAGAGGCCACAAAAACAAAAGCAGAGGAGCCAGAAGCAAAGGCCAACAGAGTGGGTTCTGTGGAGGCTGAGGTGGTGGGCACGGAGACCACGAACATGGAGGCCACAGGATCCGAGGCCACGGGATCGGAGGCCACGGCCTCCGCTGGCCCCGTCCTCCACCCCGGTGCTGCTGAGGCCTCGGAGAAGCTGCAAGCCGAGCTGGAGACCAGGATTCGCGGCTTGGAGGAGGTGCTCCGGCAGCGGGAGCGAGAGGCGGCGGCTGAGCTGGAGGAGGCCCGCGGCAAGCGCGAAGCA